TAAAAAATATAATATTAGCGCTCGCTGTTTTTGATAATGGCTTTTTTATAGGTCAATATTTTTTATTCGAGTGACGTCATTTGTGGTGAAGTACATTCGACGTAGCTGATTTACACCCGTAAATGGCACAATCAGGCCTGGAAACAATTTTGTTCGAATCCAGCAGTTCAAAAAACCTTTTTTGTATTTTTTATCATTTTTCCAAACGTTTATCATTTGGGTGACGTCATTTTTGATGATGAATGTTATGACGTCATTTTTACCACCTAAACGGCAAAATCAGAGGTGGGAACAAAACGTTTCGAATTCAGCGGTTAAAATTACATAAGAAAACGTTTGTTCCCAACTTTTACTAAAAAATGCCTCATGACTTAATATTTTTCGATTCCTCTTCTAGTCTATTACAGCATGGTCAATGTAGTGAAGCCTAACAAAGTAAGGATCTGTATTGACCCCCGTGATTTGAATAAAGCTATTCAAAGAGAACATTACCCTATGAAAACCATTGATGAAATCGTCGCTGAGATGGGAAATAGTTTTAATCATAGTTTTAAAGCAGGGCACCTTTCCAACACTCAACGTCAAGTAACTGTAACTTTAGAAAAACCTGAAAAAGACACCAGATTTCTAGAAAATTGGCGACCGATAAGTCTTATCAATGTTGATGTCAAGATATGTAGCAAGACTTACAAAAATACTCCAAATTCTTATCCATCCAAATCAAGCGGCCTTTGTTGACGGTAGGAACATAGAAGAACCACCAAGATTTCTTCTAGATATCTTTGAATATGCTGAGCGTTTTAATCATTATTATTTGTTATGTGCTGTTGATTTTCAAAAAGCCTTTGACTCAGTTGAGCATAACTTTATATTCGCAGTACTCAAACATTTTGGCTTCGGAGAAAAATTTATAAGATGGATAAAAGTAATGCTTAATGATGTGAAAAGTTGTGTTCAAAATAATGGCTTTTTGACAAATTTCTTCGATCCAAAAAGAGGTACCAAACAGGGTGACCCTATATTACCCTATCTGTTCAGCTTGGTTATGGAAATTCTGGCTGAGATGATTCGGAACAATAATAGAATAAGAGCAATTAACATTGATGGAGCTGATTATGAAACAAAAATAGTACTTTAGTTTTTGCAGACGATGCCACGCTTTGTTTAAAAGACATTGAATCTTTGAATGAGAGCATTAAGGTACTTAATCGATTTAAAACCTTTTCATCTTTACAACTGAATGCACAAAAATCTGAAATCGGATGGATCGGACCCCCAGGAAATACAGAAAATTTCCCTTGAGATTTTAAAAAATGTATAGATTTTCGCAAAGAGGGTGTAAGGATTCTTGGAATACATTTCTCACACAATAAAGATTATAGTAGGATTAACAATTTTGAGCGCGTACTCGCAAAATTTAAATCAACCCTTAATGTATGGCGATCTCAAAACTTAGCTATCTATGGTAAAGCTCTTAGTACGTTCATTAGCTATGTCTCAGTTGCATTATTTTCCAAACTTTTATCAGCTACTTCCTATCTAAAAAGAGTGAAAGAAGAGATTGTCAGTTTTTTGTGGAATGGAAAAAAATCAAAACTTAAATACAGTACTCTAATAGGGGATTTAGCGGAAGGAGGTATAAGATTTCCAGATTTGGAAACAATAATTAAAGCCAGTCGTGCACGTATGATATCTAAGTTACAAACCAAACAGGATACTGGAAATCCTTCGCTATCGTGTAGAGGCCGTATGGTGCTGCCGATGTAGGTCTCCTCGCAACTTTGACATTCGAGTTCGTATACTGTATTCTTTACAAAACATAGGTTGTTCTCTTCGTGGATGGGACATTCGCTTTTGTTGCACCTTCGTGTTGTGGGATTTGTTTTCAGTGCCTGTTTAAGTGTGGTTGACTTATGTGACAAACGTATCGGGAGGTTTTCTTTCCTGAATAATTTTCGTATCTCGCGGTTGAATTGATCACTGATGAAAGGTATACGAAAATACAAGAAGTCGTCACTACTGGTGTTGGTTTGACGTTGAGGCGCGTTTCGAGGCTGGATGTATGTTTTCTCTATMGTCTCGTGCGAGTATCCATTGAGGTGAAGGACGTCATCGAATTCCCTGTTATGTTCGATTTGTGCTTCGAGTTCGGTGCATCGTTGGTTTATACGTTTTCTTTCATTCAAAATGAAGTGACGTTTGCAYTTGCTTGRGAGAGCGGATTGCTGGTGTACGAACATGGGTTTTTTGGCACTCTTCTTGTAGAATTCAAAGGATGGTGTGCCCTGCTCCGTGATGGTGACTGAGAAGTCTAATAGCGAGAGGGTCCGTCCCTTGGGTGTGGCCGTAGGCTTCTCGATTTCAAATTCGATGTTGTTGTGTTGGGCGTTCATAAGTTGTTGGAACTTTACCGCTTGCTCCTCGTTCGTTGTTTGGAAGTATATATCATCGACGTATCTACGGTAGTTGGAGATCAGTCTTGCGGATCCCAATGCTATGGTTTCTAACTTATCCATGAAGAGGATGGCTAAGATTGCTGAGGTGCTGGTTCCCATGGGTAGGCCGTCGGTCTGGCGGTAGATTTCGCCTTTGAACTCAAAGTACATATTCTCTAGGGTGACTGTAAGTAGGTCTTTAATGTCACCTCTGTTAAGGGACATTATGCTGTTATTGATTCTCTGGGTAGCGTTGTCGATGGCTTCTTGAGTGGGTATAGACGTGTACAGTGCTACAACATCTAGGCTGCATGGATAGTTGTGTCCTGGACTCAATCAACTTTTTGAATTAGTCAAATTTCCAATCTTTTACGAGGAAATCATTAAAACATTGTGTGATCTTCAAATGGGAACAAGTATGGAATCCAAAAATGAAATTTTAATTCAGCCTTTGTGGTTTAACAAGAATTTTCAACTAAACCCGAGATTAAATCATTGTATAAAAAAGGGATATGTAGAGGAATTATCAATGCTTTACCATCTGTATGGAAGATAAAATTAAGAGAAGCATTTACAGGTGTAAACACTAACAAATTAATCATCAAAGGGGAGAATAAACCCCTACATAAGGTTTCAAGTAAAATGTTTTACTGGGAAATGGTTGATAAAATATTCAAACAACCCACTTCCAAAAAGTATATATCCAATAAACTAGGGTCAATAGATATAAACTGGCAATCAGTTTACTCTTTAATCTATTCAACATCTATCGACACCAAATTACACGCTTTTCTGTATAAAATTGTTAATAATTGTCTTTTCCTTAACGAGAAATTGTATAAGTTTAATTTAGTTGATTCCCCTAAATGTTCATTTAATTGTCTCACTTATGATGAGTCCTTTGAACACCTTTTTGTAAATTGTACTGAAACTAGAAACTTTAATCTGGATTGTAAAAACTGGCTGAGTAATTCAAACCAGATTAACCTGCCTGAAATAGCCTCAAAAATGTTTGGTTGGGTTATGAAGTTGATACTTTTAAAAAAAAATTTATTCACTCTTTTTAAGTACATTCTCTATACATCAAGAGCAAAAAAAAATTATTCACTCTTTTTAAGTACATTCTCTATACATCAAGAGCAAAATATAAAGCTCCTCTGCTAAGAGACTATCAAGCTCTTCTTAAACATTATGAAAATGCAGAATATATTATAGCTGAAAAAATATCCAAATTGACCTCTCATTTAAAAAAATATGAGAAAATCCGTGTTCTGCTTCACAGATAAACCGCGGATTTTTTCAGTGACTACTATTTAATTTTTAGCAACTATTAAATTGTAACCCTTTTTTCCTTTTCTCCTTTCAAGAAATTAGACAAAAAACTCCTTGAGTGACTTTTTGTAAAGTGTTAATTGTTAGTTAAGTGTAAGGTTTATAAACGTATTTAAATTATTGTGTTTGTTATTGTATTTAATAAAAAAAACTGTTAATAAATAAATAAATACTAAAACAAAGAAAAATGGATCCATTTGTATCCATTAGAGTTGTTCCGCATAAGAACGTTAGATATGGAAATCATCTTCGAGTACGAAAGGTATGCTAATTAGGCGTTTCTTTAAAACGCTTCTATTGTTCAAGGTATAACGCTTGCGAAAAGTAGTGTTGTTAACCGAGAAAGCGTTAGCGGCAGAACACTAAAACCATGAAAGTGCTAAATATCGTGATATGCCAGATTAAACCATAGAAAAAAAGGAATCCACACAATTCAGTAGAATTTAGTACCATTTAATTAATTATGTTTCATTCATGTATTGTAATTTTGCAAATACATACAGAGCAATTTGAGAATTTTATTTTGACAGGAGTCGAGCAAGTGTCCTAAAAATCGTGCCTGACCGTAAACAAAGAAACCATTGCAGTCAACAATAATCTTCCAATTTATGAAATGGTAGCCGCGATCTCCTCGGTAGCAGAGTCTATTTAATGAATGAATTCAAGCCACTAAAATGGAAAAACACAAAAAGTACAATCATTGTGAAAGCTCTTAAAAAACCTTTCATAAAAGTTGAAGACCGCTCTAGACTTTACAGACCCGAGTTTGTTGAATTTAATGTTTTTTCCATATTTAGACTTTGAAACTATTGGTTCATCATCACCTTTTGATAAGTGGTTTAAGGAGAATTATAATAAATTGTAACTCATGGTACATGCAAGTGTGTTTCATTTATTATATCTTTTTGAATATGATGAAAATAATGTGTTTTACAATTCCATTCATACATTGAAGTGAAATGTTTAATTTATTTACTTTTGATGCTAGATATCAGGTTCAGAACAGATGAAGACATTCTGTGGCTCTTATCTGTCCCTTGCTGTAAAGAAAGATGTCTTCACCAATTTTCAATTTGTGACATCAAACAGTGTGAAGTCAATTTAAAAGATAGGAAACAAACTGACCAGAGAAACTACTTGCTGGATTTTCTTCACCAACATGGTTAACTAGATGATTCTGGAGAGTATTATGAAGTTGAGTTTGTTTTCAAGGGAAAGCATGTCTATCGTGAAGCATGGCTGCTAGCACACAACGTTTCGAAAAGTTCTTTCAGAAGAGTTATGGCTAAGTTTAAGGAAGGTGCAGTACAGGTGGAACATAGAAATAAAGGAAGAAGAACAGTTAGGGACAAAACAGTACAATGTATTGCATGGCTTGAATATTTCTTCAAAACCATTGGTAACTTTCAACCCACCAGTAATGCAATACATTTACCATCTTGCTTAACAATTAGTTACTATTTTGTACTTTAAATAGATAATAGCACTCCAGCGAATCAACTTATAGCTCAATATTCAGGAGACATTAAATACACAAGAATCAAGTTTTTCAATTATTTTTTATTGATATCACAGTACAAACGAAGTAAAGAATAAATGTCTTAATTTGATTCTTGTGTATTTAATGTCTTCTGGGTATTGGACTATAATTATTTGATTCACTTTAGTGCTATCATCTATTTACGTACAAAATAGTGACTAATATTGTTAAGAACTTCTGAGTATTTATTTCACAGATTAAATAAAATTGCTCTATATTTATAGGGTAAAACAATTAAGTAATGCAGTAATGTCAATGACTTTCTTTCACTGATGTGATCAACTATTCATGGTAATGATTTGTTAATAATGTTTTCTTGTACTTAGATTTGTGTGTAGCATTAGAATCATGCATGAAGAATCCACTACCCAAATCGTTCATGCTACCCCATTCTTATGATATTCGTGAATGGATATCAGGGTTTTCACAACCAATGAGGGATCATACMAAACCAAAGTGCTTTAAATTTGTGCTTAATGACAAAGGAAAGGCTGTCATGCACTACAGAAACTGGAGTCATGAAGAGTGGTTTGGCCCTTTTCTTGTCTTTGAGGTAAAGA